CAACAAACTAAATCACCAACCTGGAATTCAACATCCCCTCTATGAGAATCAACATTCTTCTTCATCGGTTGTTGGGCAACTTGCAAACTGTCTCAAGCTTCATCAACTAGCTCCTGCTTTGTCCTAGCAAACCAATATGCTGTGGGACATTTCCCACCAGTAGTCTGAACAGCAACTTCGTGTGGAGTCAAAGGTTGCTGCCCATTTGCGAACTCAAAGGGACTCAAACCGGTTGTCGATGAGTTGTGCAGATTATAGCAAAACTGCACAACGTCAAGCAACTCTAACCAATTTCGCTGACTGGCTATCACATAATGCCTCAGATACTCCAACAAACCATTGATCCTCCCCATCTGACTGTCAGTTTGTGGATGATTTGCAGTAGAAAATTTCAGCTGAGACCCCATCATATTAAACAATTGAGTACAAAACTGGCCAGTAAATCTCGCATCTCTATCACTGATTATATCCTCCGACAAGCCAAAATACTTCATCACATTCTTGAAAAAGAAATCAGCAACCTTATCAGCAGGGCATGTATGAGGTGCATCCATAAAAATAACATACTTGGAAAAAGGGTCAACAACAACAAGAACGGAAGCCATACTTTTTACCTTCGAGGATCCACCAACAAAGTCCATCAAAACCGATTGCTATGGTCTCTCTGGAATGGGTAGAGGTTGCAACAAACCAGCTTCCTTCTTCTTTTCCATTTTATCCAACTGACAATCAAGACAAGACTTAACGGAAGCCTCAATCTCATTTCCATCTTCGGCCAAATAAATTTGCGAGAAAACAAAGCCCTCATTCGTTCAACTCCTGGATGACCGGCCCACCTTGCATCATGAGTCTCTCGCAGCAAAAGCCGTCTCAATTTTCCAGCACTTAGTACATAAACCCGGCTACCTTTAGCATAAAGTAACCCGTCTTCCAACCAGTACTGTCTAACCGTACCTTTCTCAACTTGATCCTTCAATTTTACATAGAAAGGATCATTCAGGGATTCCACCCGAATCAACTCCATGAAATCTGAAACAACAGCGGTCATAGAGGCAACATACTCTCCCACAAGTTTCCGACTCAAAGCATCCGCAACAGCATTATCTCGTCTTGGCTTATGTTGCCAATCAAAATCAAACTTTGCCAGGAATTCTTGCCATCTAGCTTGTTTTGGAGGCAACTTCTTCTGGGTCTTGAAATATGTATTCGCCACATTGTCCGTACCACCGTAAACTTGGTTCCCATCAAATAATGCTTCCAAGATTTCAAGACAATGCACTACTGCAGTAATCTCCTTCTCATGAGTAGTGTATCGTCTCTCACAATCTTTTAGTTTCCGGCTTTCAAAAGCAACGGGATGCTTGTTCTGGACCAAGACTCCCCCAAGTGCACGATCTGAAGCATCAGTATGTACTTCAACGGCAAACTGAAATCCGGCAAACATAACACGGGCTCAGTTGCAATGGCCTCCTTCACAGCCTACATGCCACTCCCACGCAACACTCTTTTTTCAGCAAATCCGTCAAAGGAGCTACCAACTTCGAATAGCCCTTGATAAACCGACGATAGTAATTTACCAAACCAAGAAATGATCTCAACTCAGGAACTTTTGTAGGGGCCGGCCAATCAACAACAGCCTCAACTTTCTTTCGGTCTATCCGAATCTGTCCATCACTGAGGATATGCCCAAGGAAAGAAATCTGCTTCATGCAAAATTCACACTTCTCCTTTTTAACATACAACTCGTTCTCCCTCAACTTAACAAAGACCTTTCTCAAGTTCAAGAGATGGGCTTCAAGGGACTCCGAATAGACAATAATGTCATCAAGATAAATAACAACAAACTGGTCCAAAAACTCATACAACACATCATTCATCAAATTGCGAAACGTGGCAAGAGCATTCGTTAAACCAAACGGCATCACAAAGAACTTAAAGGAACCATGCCTGGTTACCACAACAGTTTTCTCCTCATTACCCTCCGCAATTCGAACTTGCCACTATCCCGCCCGTAGGTCGATCTTTGTGAAGATCCCGCCCTTAACCAGCTGATCAAACATCTCATAGGCATTTGGCACCAGGTACTTGTTCTTGATGGTGATCTTATTCAGCGCCCTATAATCCACACAAAATCTCAACAAACTGTCTGCCTTCTTCTGAAATAAAGCAGGGGCACCATAAGGAGCTTTAGACGGTTTCATCAACCCACCTTCCAGCAATTCATCTAACTGGCGCCTCAATTCAACAAGTTTAGCAGGGGACATCCGATAAGGAGCTTGTGCCAGTGGTCTAGCTCCAGGGACCAACTCAATGCGATGATTCGTTGCCCGTCGAGGAGGCAACTTCTTGGGTAATTCTGGAGGCATCACATCAGCAAATTCATCAAGTAAATCAGCAACCGACTGAGGAACATCCTGGAACACATCCAATTTCACTTCAATTAGCACGACCAAGAAAGTTTGTTCACCTCCGCTTCAAGCCCGTTTCCACTTGCATTGCCGACAGGATTCCTTTATCCTTATCACCACCCACTTCTTTCCAACACTTGAACATTTCACAAACATGGGATACTTCTCATCAGCGATCATGATTCCGTCCAAGTGTGGAATTGGGAAGGCTTTGTTCACATACATCCACTCCTTCCCAAGAATGATGTCAAAATCGTCAAGGCTTCTCACAACCATGACATTACACAAACCAGTCCAACCATCAATAGTAATATTAAAACTCACACGACCAAGAACGGCCTCTGCCTCTACGTTAACCGTTTTGATCTTACTATTATCACTCTCAATCTTCAGCTTCAACTGATTCGCCTCGCGCTTGGTCATAAAATTATGAGTTGCACCACAATCATACATAGGCAACACTTCAAGGCCGTTTACCCAACCTTTTATATATATTAATGAATTCTGAACAGCGGGGGCTCTAATCCCACTAATAGCACACAATAACTGCAAAAGATTGACACGGGAAGGCCTTTCACAATCAGAATCATTACCTTGACTTGCAATGATCGCATTCACCTTCTCCTTGTGAGGGTAATCACGAGCAAGGTGAGGACCGTCACACTTAAAGCATCCTCTCTTCTTCTCAGATTTCCAATCCAACGGAACGGTTTTGCTCTCAACTCGTCCTTCTTCTTACCCTTCTGATAGGACTTCCCATCTTTGTTCCCTTTATCCTTCTTAGTTTGCTTCCGGTTACCGGTAGAACTGGACGAAGTCTTATAGTCCACCAACTTCTCATCAACAGCAACGGCTTGGGACAAATTCTGCACCCCTTGCCGATTCAACTCTGTCTGAGCCCAATTCTGCAAGCCCAGCATGAAATTGAAGAGCTTATCTTGTTCCGACATGTCCTTAACATCCAGCAACTGAGAATTGAATTCCCTCACATAATCACAGACAGGACCCAACTGCTTCAACTTCTGAAGGGACTCTTTAGCAACCCATGACACATTAGTATGAAGAAGCCGAGTCTTCAACTCACATTTCATGTCAGCCCTTGTTCCAATCTTAGCAGCAGACTCGTCTTCACACCGAGTTCGCCACCACTACTTTGCGGCCCTAGCAAGATACATAGCAGCAACATCAACTTTCACTTGTTTCGTCACAACCTTTGTGGCCTTAAATTACTGCTCCATGTCCCACAGAGAATTCTCCAACTCCTTGGAACTACTAGCACCACCAAAGGTCTTGGGTTCCAACACTTTAAATTTCTCACCCTGAAACTGATATTTCCACCCAAGGAAGGTGAAGAAGAGGCCAAGGCCCATTTCACAAAGCCACATCGTCAACCAAAGTCTGAAGAACATCAAATTCTTCTTCAACTTTGGCCCTTGACACCCTGCCATCCACACTACGGGTCAAAGCAGCAACATCCGTCTTAAGGGACCCAACAACAATATCCAATGTAGCATAGGGAGAAGAAGTTGAAGGTTGATTCCGGACCAACTTCTCTAGATTCGTAACTTTAGCCGACACACCTTCAATCAAACTCTAGCGGCTGGTAAGCATCCGGAATAAACTGAGACTTTGATCATCAGTCCCAATTATCCGTTGTATACCTTCAATGACTGTTTCCAAGTGCCCTACCCATTCTGTAACAGTTCCTTGTGTGTTCACCATGATGAAACACAGCAGGAAACCAACCGATACTAGTCAGAGCAACACAACAAAAAACAAAGGTCACCAAAGCCCGCAAACGGGTTTCGATACTAACTTGTTACACCCTCGTTAACCATCTATGGATTCCCAGCAAGAACAAGGCTATGAATACCTTGATCCAACACTCACAACTCACTTTGTAAGTAGTAGAAATTGTGCATAAATGTAAAAAATCAAGTAGGCAATAGAATTTACGGATAAAATCCCAACCTCTTATTATAAACTTGCAATACAAGGAAATACACCAAGACTTGCACGGCACAATTCCCAAATCTCTCATATGGGTTGCTGGCTAAGCCAAATCCGAGATATATACATGGGACGGCAGTTATAACTGCCCAAGGAATTCAGAAAACATGGATACAAAGCCAGCATACAAAAAGGTAACTGCCGATAACCGCCTAGGTCACCCTTACCAAGAAAGCTCGGTCACGTTCCCTGCCAGCCACGCTAAAAACCCGGGACTGCACCCAATAACAGTCCGGTTAGCCGTGTACTGAGATTTTACTACTCGGTTCCACCCATTCCCGCAAAGTCCTCGTCACCTGACCGAATTCCAACAAAGTCCAAGTCTTTCCTGAGATTCCACAAGCCGGTTTCTCAAAACTCGGTAACTAGCAAGCTGATGCCACAAAATCCCGCAACATCGTTCCGTTCTAGCCCAACTCAAGAGCCAACCTGACAGAACAAGGGACCAGTACCACCTAGCACTTGATTTCCCGCATCACATGCATGCCGACTGCGTGTGAAATGTGGACTAAGGATTTAGGGGTCTAACAGCAAGCCTATAATAACATGAATGATTCTTCGATATTATTCCACCATTTCACTTCAAGCATCATTCTTCCTGATCAAAGCAACAAGCAATTTCTCACAATCTCCATGAGTGTCCTTGACATTGGCACGCCCCAGAGGTACACTGCTCCTCTTGTGGTAAAGCTCCTTAATTATGTTCAGATCAGCCTCCGCCCTAGTAGCCACAACCCTAGTAAAAGCAGCCTCATTAGTCCCGCGCTTGTTGATTGCTTCTCGCAGATCCTTCTCAAAGTAGTTCTCAGGGTAGGCAAGGCATTCAAAAGCGGCCCTCAGGGTAGAGAGGAACTCATATCATTATCATGTTCCAAATCCTTGATTATATCACTTCCAAACTCATTCTTGTATTGATTGAGTGTCGCATTGACCTGTACTTAACATCATCATCACTGTAATACTTGTCCTTGATTTTCTCATGTAGTATCTTAGCCTCTGATTTTGCGAGGGAGATATTCACTTCATCACCAACATATCGATATGAGCTCACCAGAGGCAGAAGAAGCTTGCGGAACTCCCTTGTGGTGTGATAAGCAACATCCTCTTCAAGGGATTTCTTATAACGAGCATGATAAGCATCCCTATCCAAAATTAACACTTTAGGTGACCTTGTGCACGCTATCTTCACAAGAACCTGATTGCTTGATGTAAACCTCTTTGTAGCTTCATTAGCCAAAAGTGCATCACGTTCTGCAGGGTCCAATGTCCACAGCAGGACCAACCATGTATATATAAATGTATATATATATATATTTATTTAAAAAAACAACATTTAAAATAGAAAAAGAATAATTAAAAATATGTTTGGGGGTATATAATTCCATTAATTAAAATATCTTGAGCAATAAAAAGTAAAATAGAGAACCATAAAACCCTAGATACAGTACATATATATATATATATGTATGTATATATAAACTTATGCACTATACACACAGGAAGACATCCACGGTTCGTGTGCTAATCAATCATGGGAAAATCATGGGATGTAGACACGATTTTGGCTTCAGTTGCAGGGTTATGTTTCAGTGTTTTCGCGGCGTATATCAGCGTTGAAGTTCTGCACAGTTGGTTCGTTGCTCCCACTCCCATCTCTCTTGCATACTAATATGTGCTCTTAAACATCAATTCTATACTTTTGTGTGTGTGTGTGTGTTTTTTTTTTTTCAAAATCATTTCTGTATTAATTAGGGATCGTTATACGGAGAAGCGGCGTAACAGAATATCTGGTAATACGCGCAACGCCAACGGCAACGGCGACGGCGCCAACTCCGCCGTCACGGGCAACGGCGGCGATGCGATCATCACGGTCACGGGCAACAGCGGTTCCGTGATGACTACTGTCACGGCTAACGTAATCAGTGGAGACGGCGCGACCGCAACAACCAACGCCACCGTCACTGCCAACGCTCAAACCTACAAGAACGGTGCCGGCGACGGTGGCGCCGCCTCTTCCGGCGGCTGCAGCGTCGAGGTGAAATTTATCTTGCCAGTAATGCCCTCGCAGAAACAGAGGAGGAGTTGATGCACTGTGCATTTAGATTCCATCTTTTGGCTTGAAACATATAATCACGGTTATAAATTATTGTCCGGTTTGAATTTTTACTTTTAATTCAAATTGTACTAAAAAATAAAAATCTAAATTAGACGATCATTTTAAGACAGAGGGAGTATTATTTTTTCATTTTGGGACGAAAGTAATAATTATGAAAAGTTGCTATGCTACACCAAATAGTTTCTTATCCAGAAACAAGATTTGTCTAAATTATAACTTCGTTACATCTTCGGTTCATTAGTTGAATATTATTCACAGTAATTTCTCTTTTTCCCATTATTATTCGTGCATGGTTAATGTATTAATTAGTATCATCATTCAGAATTATCTTTTTCATTTTTGTGAGCGCATGAGCAAATTAATTTTGCGACACTCGTGCTTTCGATCAATTGCTCGTGACGTTTGGTTTATGTTACTCAGTTTTATTCATAACGTTTGGTTTATCCTAATTCCTACACATTTTTTTAACTACAGCCTCGAATTTTTGAAGGTTATTTCGATATTCATTTATACTTTCCACAATTGACTTATTCATTTATATTTCCTTCTTTTTTTTAAAAAAAGTATATGTATATTAAGAAAAGATACCTGTATATTTCCTTCAATCTCTGGCAAACATCCATAAAATCATGAGAAAGTGTACGGCCTACGTGTCAAAAAAGGAAGAAAAACAGCAGCTGAAAGTTCCGAAACTGACAAGTAACAACTTTAAAGATCTCTAACACAAGATTTTTCACGAGGTCTAGGAAATTATGTTTCAAGGTTGTTGTGAAGAAATACTAGTGCAGTATATTTTTTTCATTCCTAAAAATCTCTTATGTGGGTTCCTAAAAAATCTCTCATATGTATTTGTTCCGGGGATCCGGTTCCACTGTATTTGTTCTCATTGCAATAAAATAACTTTGTTAGACATTGCTGGTTTCATTTTTAATTTTTCTAGTAGTGTGTGATTAATTTCTCAACATAGTTCATGGGATCATGAAGAAGCTTTTAGTTAATTGTAATCTTTTTAATTTTTTTTAAAAGCTGGATTATTGCGGAGATTGACATTTAGCACTGTAAGTTATTCTTGATGTTATGAAATATTTGATTTGATGTGATTGAATGTCCACAATTAATATATATTATTCTATTCACAATAAGGAAATATGATTCTGTAATATTTAGCATTAATGATAGATGATTCATTTCCTACAATTTGATCCCCTACTTCTTGTATAAATAGGGAACTTATTCATGCTTCAAATTATATCTGAAAAGTCTTTTATCTCTCTACTCTCTAATCTTTCCTCTTTGTTCTTATGCTTAGTTTCATATTAATCACGAAGTTCTAGCCGAAGAGCTTTATAATATCAGTGTCTGAAGTTGATGTATATTAATACTGAAAGCCTGAATTCTTCAGTAAATAATTAGTGTTTGTAACTGAAAAATAATTTTTCCGGAGCTTTGGTTCCTCCCACTCCCAGGTATGATCAAAAATCTTTTTTTTTTGGGAGTTGGTGTGTACTTGATTCGTTTATATGCACATGTACTATTGATTTGTATTATTTGTATAGCCTCATTTTTGTTTTGTTCGGGAAACTATGATCCCAATCTTTCACCAATATATGGAGTACGTGTTCGTTTTGTTTTATTCGTTCATGTTTCATGCTTTATATTACGTGATTATTACATGAAATATTTTTGCATAGCTTATGTATATTTGATTTGATATTTAAAGTAGGTTCTTCCCCAGAATCAGAATTCACGGCTTTGTTTTATTGGAATTGGTGTGTTAATTTTTTTTAAAACCATATCGGATGAGGTTTAAGGTTGTAGTTAAAGCTGGTTCTATTTAATGTTTTTAACATCCATGTTGTGGTTCAAAATTTGCCATATTTCACGATTAATGATGATGAAAGCTTCTAGAAATATTTGATTGAAGAAGTACGCACCCTTCTGTTCTGCGGCAATGCTTTGAGATTTTTTTTTTCTTTTTCTTACACAAGTATGATTTCCTATATGTGTTTTATATTTATAGTAAAGAACATAATTACGGGATCTTATTCCACTTCTGAATCTAATCACCTTTTGTTTTCAAAGTCGCCGACCTAAATTTTTTCTTTTCTCTGACAGTGTTGACATTAAAAAAAAAAAACACCTCTATTTATCGACTTGGAAAAGGATTATCAAACTTTTGTTTTGGTTCTCGGAAGTTTTTGATCTATTTGAAAGCTTAGATAGCATATGTTAGCAAGTTCTGCTTTGGCCCAAAAAGAAAACTACTTTGTCTTTTGTGATATGTTTTTTTTTTTATTGGTACACATTGTATGCACGAGCAATTTGATTATGTAAAATTGATTAGTTTAATACCATGGCTATATGTAGGTTCTATATGGTGATATATTTGATTAGTTAAATTTAAAGAATGTATGGTACTGTGTTATCAAAAGATCTTATTTTATATTACTGAATGCCTACAACTAATATATAATAATATTCTAGTCACTATGCAAACTCTCCGGTGAAGAGCAAATCTTTGTATGCATGAGTAGTTTGTTTTTGTTAAACATAGTAATATAATTTTGTTCAGAGAAATCACAAGACTCATTAATTTGGGAGTTTTCTACTTCCTAAAGCACGTGGAAGGTTTTTTTTTTTTTTTTTAATTTATAAGTTGTAGACAATAAATCTACTATTATATTTGTCACAAGTAAAATATAATCTTTCACTCGAAGTAGAAGATTAATCACAAGAATAAGTAAAAATTACTCCTGAAGTAGCAATTTATCTACTATTGAATACTATTGAGTCTTTTGTTAAGAAAATTATTAGACTCATCGAAACTGCATTCCCTGAAGTGAATGTCTGTAGTGAATGTGCCAACAATATAGTTGATCAATAAAGACAGTCGGGACTATGCACAATGAACAAAAATAGTCCGACCGTATAGCAATTATAGCCACATGCATGCGTTGTGACAAAAATATTATGATCCATTAGAAGTGGAAAAACACTGACAAGAAAATTGTTAAAAAGAGAAACAAAAATCACAACGACAATTGTAAACTGTAGCATGAAAGTCTACAAGGAAACAAATCATTGAATTTTCGTTGTTATTACATGCTCCAGAAGAGCATATATAATTGGATAAAACCAATGCTCCAGTAGAGCATCAGTTACTAAATATCTCAATAAGATTATATATATGTTCCAGAAGAGTAAGAACACTCGTGGAAAAATTAAAGTAACTGAATAATAAATACTCTTGTAGAATAGACAAGATCAGTCAAAGTGAATGCTCAAGTGCAGTGAAATTGATCTGGTATAGTTGAATAATTAATTCGTTATTTTCTCAAGTAAAGAAAATCTAAAATTTGGCATAACTACTATTATCATTATGGTTTCAAAATGAAACAAGCAAGTTTATGTGTTTTAAGTTTGGAGAACTAAGAATTTCTTCCAACGAATTAGAGTGTCAATCTATGTGTCGATCATATAGGCACATCTATGGTTGCCGTTATCTTGCAACCTGAAGCTTGCAGAAATTTTATTGAGTTAAATTGGTAACTTGCGGATTTTTATATTCTGTTCTTACGAGAATTTTGATTTAACAATTGTGGTGAGTGTATGACTTAATACCAGAATGATAAAAGTTGAACATTGAGTGCCTATAAAAGAAATAATGAGACGGTCAAGTAGAATCGTTTATTTCATATGTTCAATTAAAGTAATTACCTCATTATAATTGAGAAAGTGTTGAAACACAAAAATGCACCAATTATATGCATAGACCAAACAGGTCATTATGGATATTCTTCCCAACATTGGTTTTCGGTCAAAAACCATACCTATCCATCTTCGAATATTATATGTGCATATTATATTATAATTACTCCACCAAAATGCACAAAAAGATGGAGCCTCCGAAATTGGTTAGAAATATATGTTAGATTAATTACTTGATGAACTGATCGTATTAGTTTGACGAGTAAGTTACTCTCAAAAGGGAGATTATTAACTGCTCGGTTGGTTAATCGTCATTTTAGCGAGTTAGTTATCCTAACATCAGGGGGAGAAGTTAAAATAGCCTATTTATAAAATCCGATGGACAATGTAATTATCTCATTATGATCCTCAATGATATGAACCTGAAGTTCAAGAGATAACGTTTAAGACCATATGTTTACCTAACCGAATGTATAAATATATTTCTATAAAACGCTGTTAAAACTTAAAATTTGATAATGTGTCCCTGAAGGACTACCTACCACTATTTGTTAGTTGAATGTCCATTTGATGAGTGATAGAACCATCAATTCCAAATGATAAAAATCCTCGTATATGATAAGATCTAAATCTATAGAGATAGTAAATACGAGTGATTATAATTCATAAGAATTTTGAACTGGAATAGTTTTCCATTACATTGAATTAACTTCCAGAAGAAGTATATGAATACTTGGGAAATTTAATGATTGTGAGATCTCATTAACAAAGAACATGGAATCGATCAGCAATAAAATGTTGACACGAAAATTACTTATGCTGCAGCAACAAAATAAATAAAAATGAGGATCATGAAATAAAAGTCTATTGTAGATGCAGGCATTAAAGTTATTGTCCACAACAAATAAAAAGACGCAATACACATTTGACGATGTGTACTTAGAATTGAAATTGCTTGCGAATTAGAAGTTTGGCAAGTGATATACCGGCTAGATTTTGATGGGCTATTATGCAAAAAATAATCGAGCAACATCTTTGTTGCACAAATTTTTCTCAAAGTCCGTTTTATCTTGTCGTGGATGAAAAAGAAAATCTTCCGTTATTTGCTAATCTGAAAGCAAATGAAGATAAGAAATGCGTCTCTTGAATATAGTGATCACTTAATATGTGATACTTGATATTTAATAATGACGTCTATATGAAATCCCCGAAGGATTAAAAAGGGGACATGATTATCAATTCTAGAGAAATTAGTTCAAAAGACTTGTGCAATTTATAGTGTCCTCATATATCTAGATATTAGGTTCACATTTTTTGAATATAATAGATATGCTATGTTTGTTTTTATCTAGATATGTATGTTTGTTTGTAACATGATTTTCTATTTTTGTTTTTATGATCATTCAAATATGATTTTCTATTTGTTTTTATGCTCATATTTTCTATTTATTTTTATGATTATATTTGAATGATAGGATGATAACTAATACTAGAGTGAGTATTTATCAGCCATATGTGTGTTTACAATTTTGCTAGCACCGAACTCTTGTAGAGTTTCAAAAGGCTGAATATTATCGAAACTTATCACGAAGTACGAATAGCCTGAATATAAATAAAACTTCTGAAGAGTCACATCATAGTTATGAACACTTCTAAAGAAGTTCAAAAGGTTGTTACTTGGCTGAAGCAAGGATAATGAAAGATCTTGAGTAGATTCTCGGTCCAAATAGTTTGACTTTTGTATATGCAACGCCCGTTGAGCTCACTTGATTAAAATCTTGATGTGCATATAGATCATTCTTCTTGACTTTCTATTGATGTAGACTGATTTGGTCCTGAAATACCATATAAAGTTTCGATTTATCTAATCAGTTAGTCAAGACCTGAATGTTGTACATTGAAACCTTCAAGGTATGATGGTCATGCATCTCCATTATTATAAAACACTCAAGATTATACGGGTATATGAAGACAACCATCTACATAAGAAGTCGAAATAATATGTTTATTATTGACTTAAACAATCATGAACCTGGTCGATAGCTTGTCATGCAACAAGAAGATCACAAGTGGCATACTTAACATGGGGAGTAACCCACGCTGTACTCTTTGTTTCCTTGATCAAGATTTTGTTCCAATGGGTTTTACTGACAAGGTTTTTAACGAGGTAGTGTCACATTCGGAAGTGTACTTTTTTTTCCTTCACTAGAGTTTTATCCCAAAAGTTTTTGCAAGTAAGGATTTAATGAGCCATTATTCCGCAAAGATGGACATTCAAAAGGGGAGTGCTATGACATATTTGATTTGATTTGATTGAATGTCCATAATTAATATGTATTATTCTATTCACAATTAAGGAGATATGATTCTATAACATTTAGCATTAGTGATAGGTGATTCATTTCCCACAGTTTGATCCCCTACCTCTTATATAAACACGAGCTCATTCATGCTTCAAAATATGTTTGAATACAAGTCTCTTATCTCTCTCTACTCTCTTGTCTCTTCTCTTTGTTCTTATACTTTTCATATTAGTAATCTAACATTAATTTTATAATACTTAAAACATTCTAATCAATCTCACCAATATTAGTACATCATCGGGAACACTTTGCAATATAAGTACCCACGATTAAAGTCGATCTCACTTTCTTTTCACTGGCGCCTATCTTCGGAATCATCACTAAAAAATTATTTCATCTATTCTAAGATGATTATTTTGTTAATGTTTACTATAAAAACTCAAATAACATAATCATCTCAAGAATGAAGTACTTAAAGTAATTCTCTTTTTCCATTATCAGTCATGGGGGGAGAACAAATCAGTACGTTTTTTGTTTTTGTTTCTTTTTTTTCATTTATTTCATCGTGGCGGAAGTTTTTTTTATTTTTTATTATCAAATTGACCAACACGATTTGTTCTGCCCCCCAAATATTTATCCTACACAAATTGCAAAATATTGATCTCATATATTGTTGAAGGGGTTATATATTGTTGAAGGGGTTATATATTGATCTCAATATTTTTTTTGGGTATCAAAAAATGCACGAGAACATGATGAATCAGCTTTTACAACGAAGAAACTGCGGCCGTCTCCGCTCAAAAGAATCCCAATAATGAACTCTATGACTCTATCTCACGCGGCAACAGCTCTCACAATTTTCCTTTTCTTGAACTACAAGAACTACTCCTACTAGCGGTAAGATTCCCAATAACGAACCCTATAACTTCTCAAAAAATTATTCCCTCCATTTCAATTTAATTACTTACTTACTTTTCTAGAACATTTCAAAATTTAGCCTGATTTTAAATAATTACTAGTAATTAACGGTTTTTTTTTCTGTACATTCTCTAATACTATACCGTTACTACATTAACTGGAATTACTCAAAAAAAAAAAAAACACTGAAATAAAAAATATATAATTAATTACACTTGTTGCCCCGACTCATTAACTGAGTACTAATGTACTACTCTTTAATAATGGTGTACTAATTAAGAATTTTAATAAAAAATTAACCAAATAAACTACAATACTTTTTTTTAATCTCCGTATATTTCATATGTGTCCAAATGAGTTTAATGAATTGGCATGGAGGGAGTAGTTGTAATTCAGTTTTGTAATTTGTATTATTTTTAGTACAAATGTTAAAACTCAACATGAATTATTTTTGTAGGACATAAAGAGTATATATGTTTACCATATAATTTCATTTTTAATTTGACAACGGAGGGAATTATAATTTATAAACGAGCAACTAAAGGTTAGTGATGCCTTCCCCTGCTTTAATTGTGATTAAAGGGGAATAATTGGTGGGTTTGATTCTTTTCTTGGGAGAAAGAAAAACTAGAGGGGATCTTGCACAAAGTACGCACTCATTACAAGTAAAGAATCCTTGCACTTATAAATTAGTAATGCCTCCGAGTTCTTATTATAAATTATTTTGATTTTGTTTTATGTTTTACATGAAGATAAAAAAGGGAAAAAAAAACAATCACAGAAAATGATTTGATTAATTGGGACCATTTTTTTTTTAAACCAACCTTTTGCAGATGCATGTGATGTCCTGGATGACAAGAGAAGTAATTAACTAGACCATATGAAAAAAGAAAAACATTCAGCAAAGCTAAAACTGAGATGGAAGCACAGAATAAACAGTATAAGTACGGACAATGTTATGATGATCAGGTAACGAACCAGAGAGCAGTACACTTTCACAGACCTAAGAAAATGCCCAAAAAAAACCATGAGGAAGAACAACCAACACCTCAAGAGTTTGATGTACATTATCTGTTCGAACGAACCATGCGAAACGATTGGGAAGAGGTCCTGCTTGTGTACAAGCAACATCCAAAAGATGCTGCTACGGCGAAGCTAATTAAATCAGAAGAGACGGCTTTGCACATTGCTGTCTCGAGTTACCGGGCAGATCAGCCTACGGCTAAACAACATGAGGAGCATGTCGAGAATCTGGTGAAAACCATTCGAGAGGCGCAGCTACAAGATGAAATACTGAAGCTGAGAAGTAAAAAAGGGAACACGCCCCTTCATCTAGCCGCGGCGCTTGGGAGCGTGCGCCTGTGCAAATGCATTGTCGGGGAGGATAAATCTCTCATCAGCATCCGCAATAAGAAGGGCGAAACTCCATTGTTCATGGCAGCTCATCATGGAAAGATGGAAGCTTTTATGTACCTTCAGGAGTTTTACAATGCCACTCATGATACTGATGATCATGAACGTAAGGAATCTGTTGAGTCACTCTGCAGAAGGAAGGATGGTGATACCATTCTGCACTCTGCCATATCAGGAGAATACTTCGGTACAGATGTTTTCTTTTTCAAACATTGTGCTGAATACATATGCAATGTGTTTGAGCACTTTGATACAGTTCATCCATCTTAATCTGATCATGACTTTGAACTTCTAGTTTTTAGCTTTTTTCCACCTTCCCATTGCAGAATTGGCGCACAAGATAATTGAATACTTCCCGGACTTAGTTAAATATCTCAATCAAGATGGATTTTCTCCTCTCCACTTCCTTGCCAGGAAGCCTAATGTATTCGAGAGCAGCAGCAACTTTCGACTCTTGGACCGCTTCATCTATCACTGTATGATATCAAACTTAAAAAACATTTTTATGAGATTTCATCTTTTCTTAAGCATTTTGTTTAACTAACAGGATCTATATGTTCATCTGTACATAAGGTGCTATTGTTCATGAACTCCAGAAGGAGCCTTTCGAACGTTTCTCCCACAGATTTTTTCCATGCTGCAGAAATGGTACCTACTACCCAGAGAATTATCAAACGTGTGTTAACTTTTTCGCTCTGCTTTGGGCTACATTCAAGGTTACTGGTAAGTAATCTTAAATGCTATGACTTGTTAAGTCTCTATTGAGAAGAAGCTATTCTTACTGGTTCTTCTTCGGGAAGTCTGTGGCGAAGGACCACGCAGTAGCACAACAGATGAAGAGAATCCGGAAAAGAAAGAAGAGGCAAATCCAGGTCTCTTCTACCTTCAACTGATTTACACATTACAGAGTTAAGCACTGAAAAAAAAATATTGGTTGATTGATCATTGATGCATTTCTAACCTTATCAGAAAAAACCAACCTCAATTGAACAGGAGATGGGTCCAAAAATACATCTTCATTCCCTCAAATCTACGCGACGGGCATTCTACTTTTCAAGTTATTGGTGAACCTTTTGCTGACTATGTTTGGAATAGGTAAGTAGGGCATGTTAATGAAAGCAAAATAAAATTTTAGCTTCTGCTTTGATTTTCAACTTAATGGCAAGAGGCATCCAGTTGATCATCCACCTTCTTAATTTCATTTCAATTCAGCATTGAATTTCTACTCTTAACACTTTAACCACATTCAGGCATTTGGAGGATAAGTAAGATCAAGGAAAAGAAATACAGATACAAGTGGGCTGCTAAAATTATGAATGAACTGATTAGTCTGGAAACAGACTACAAGTTTTTTCATAACGGGGGAACCCCAACCATAGAATTGGAACCGATGTATGCAGGACGATTGGAGGCTTTTGAGCCTCCTTTATTGCCACCACCAGTTCCTCATTCTCGTTCAGTTGTAGAAGAAAATAGAAGCGGGAAACACAAGAATCAGCAAGGTAAAACATTTCTATAAAAGCCATCTTCTCAGGATTTCATTCACAGTGCAACAGAATAAAGCAATCCTAACCCCTACTTATATCATGCAGATATGAGTTTTACTGGAATGATTGAAAAGAAACATGAAACGGCGGCCAGAACAAAGGTTGCCAAGAAGGAGACACCACTTCTACTTGCAGCAAAGATGGGTATCACCGAAATGGTAGAAGAGATTCTAAAGAAATACCCTGTTGCCATACAGGACTTGGATGCAAATAAAAAGAATGCCTTACTTTTGGCAGTTGAGAACAGGCAAACAGAAGTATATGATTTGTTGTTGAAGATGACATTACCTGAGTCTGTGCTTTATCAGGTGGATAAAGACGGAAATAGTGCAATCCACCTTGCTGCAAAGTTCCAAAAACACCAACCGTGGCGTATTCCTGGCGCTGCATTGCAGATGCAATGGGAAATCAAGTGGTATAAGGTACACATAAACTTTTCCCCCTAACAGAATTTAGATATAGCAAACCGAAGAAATATGAACTACTTTAAGATTTGAGATTCTACACGAAAGCGTTATTCTACTGCTATTCAACTACTTGTGCATGGATTCTACTGTTGATGCATTATAAAAGTTGTACCATATCGGCTATTAGAAACGGCAGCAATGGCATCTTATATAGTCTAAGATATTCACCAAGCAATTTTTTAGTGCAGCATGTTAAAAGCACAATGCCAACCCAGTATTTCATTCAATACAACAAGAAAGAGGAAACTGCTTCAGAAATTTTCAAGAAGACACACGAATCGCTGGTAAAAGATGGAAGCGGATGGATCATTAAAACCTCGGAGTCATGCTCCTTAGTTGCAGCACTCATAGCGACTGTGGCGTTCGCAACTTCCACAACTGTGCCCGGTGGTGTTGATCAAGTCAGTGGCCATCCTATTTTTGAAAATCAGCCAGCATTTCTAGTGTTTTCAATAGGTTCAGTAGTAGCTCTGTGTTTTTCTGTCACTGCCTTGGTGTTTTTCCTAGCAATCCTTACCTCAAGATGCCAACAAAAGGACTTCAGATATGATTTACCAAGGAAACTCCTTTTTGGATTAAGTTCCCTCTTTACCTCAATAGCTGCGATTCTGATCTCGTTCTGTGCCGGACATTTCTTCCTTCTAAAAGATCAACTTAACAATGCAGCATACCCGATTTATACCGCAGCATGCTTGCCAATAACGTTTTATGCTTTCGCACAGCTGCCCTTATATTTTGATCTCGTATGGTCCATCACCAGAAAGGTGCCCCTTCGTAGCTACAAAGTGTTTTCCAACTAGTCTCAGTACTATGTATTTATTCCAGGAGCTCAAAGTGGATGAATCTGTAACCTTCTTCCGATGTATCCCATATGATACTCAGAAGCATTTTAGGCCACAGTTACGAGTACATTGTGGCCTTCTTCACCTGTTGGAAATGCTTCCCGCTTTGTTCTTTTTAGTACAAGGATTACACAAATATTTCATCAGCCAGAATACGAATGCAGTGTTAGACCATTTCAGGTTCATATCGGCCTAAATTACTAGTAAAAATGGATAGATAATCACCTACTATGATTATAACCTTGTTCTTCCAGATTACTGCTTAGAGATAAATACTCTTTGGGCTCTGTTGGCTTCTAATCATTAAATTTAATTGTGAAGCATCCATTTGCATACAGGATTTTGGTTCTAAATTTTTTATATATCCCCTGTTCTCCAATTCAAGTACAAATGCATACAAAAAAAACTAGCATTCTGTTGCACATGTTGGAACAAAAGTTCAGATGTTCAATGGAGTGCATTTTTTAGCAATGAAATGTTGCGATTCAAGAAACAATGTTGCGACTCAAACATCCTCTGCTCAGTGCAGAGATTCAAGAAACAATGTTGCGACTCAAAAATCCTCTGCTCAGTCCTCTGCACAGTACTCATTGCAGTAAATTTTTTTATGATAAAAGTGGTTTAGAGGCTGCTGTGGCTTTCCTTACCAAGATTATGGACTAATGGGAATTATGTTTGCAGGGTTTGAATGACCCCCCTGCCCCAGTTCCTCAATGAAGCAATTCAGGAGGACGTCTCTAATTTTTCAATTTGAAACAACAACAATTTTCATTAATTTAAAAAGTTTTGAAACTTCTTGATAGGGCTAGATTCAGATTGGCTTACCTTCTGTACAAATGAATTTACCGATCTCTATTCATGAACTATTTCTCCTTAGCCTTCTCTCATTTCCCAGTGAAGAGACCGAAAAGAAGTCACAGAAATAGACTACATGTATGGCAAGCCAAAAGAATGACAAAATCAAACTGAATGATACTGTGAAACCACATAAAATTATAAAACCAAAGAGCAGATTTTGGAGAGACCCGCTCTGCTCTCAGTTATGAACAAAAGAGCGAAGCAAATCTACTTTGCAGAAGAACCCAATGAGTCAGATGATCATACAAAATGATGCTTAAAACAGTAACATCAAAAGTAACATTCACTTGGTAATGGAAATTAAAAAGAAAGGGGTAATCACTGCTTTATACGTAATAAGCTAACCTTTCTACACCAAGTGATAGCAGTTTCAAGTCAAGGACATGAGGGTGAAACTAAGCTCTCAACCCACATAAGTGCATCTATAATTGCACCTGTCACCGGTTACCTCCTGGATGTGTGACTCTTTGGATTGTAAAGGAACAAGCCTGAGTGTATGATGCAGGCGGAAGCATGAAAAGAAGGAACACCACTTTGATTCATGATCACCATGAACAAAGGCAATGGTTTTTAGACAAAAATCAATAGAAACCATAACACAGACACTCAACCGTGAAAGAGAGAGAACTCGCAGTTCTGAAATCAATTATCAAGTATCAATAAAAACTACCTCTGTGTAAACGTACATCAATCCTATTTATAGTTAAACCCTAAACTTAAAAACGGAAAATATTAAAAGACTTACAAATTATGTAAAAGACTAAAACCTCCCTAAATTAAAATTTCCTAATAATTCTTACACCCTAATTGTTATTTTTTCCTGAATTAACTTTCCCCTGCTTCAAAGAAAATGTCATGATCCAGTGACGGAATCGGACGAAAATGGTGGATTCCGACGAATCGGAGGCGGTTGGAAGCGGTTAGGATTCGAGAACCCGGAGAGAATTGGGAACGACACTGGTTTTCCGAAAATTCAACTCAAAACAATATTATCCGATGATGATCTTTTGACGCCGGGTCTCTATTTATATTTTCATAGATATCGAGTTTTACAATCAAGTCCCTGAATTATTGATTTAGATCAATTTAGTCCGAGATCGTGACAATCCGTCCCCCTTACTTTTAGTCTTGACCTCAAGACTACTATTACCTACTGAAACTGAAAACAACAGTTTACTACTATACTGAAACAGTAAACTACAACAAAAATCATCAACTAGCAAAGTAAACTAGATAGGGATTAACATGCTAGGAAATTGACAGCAACATGAATGTCTTCAACTGAGAGATCAAAACATCAACTGGAACTGAGAAAACAGCAACTCAATTTACTCTTCACTGGTACCATTTCAACCGAACCAAAACAAACACCAACAACTTGATCACACTCATTCTTCAGCCTTTACCATCTTCGAATTCTAGGGTTAGCTCATTAAGGTCCACCATCTCACCATCAACAGTCCAGATCACACTATCAGAAGTCAAATGCGCATATTGACAACTTTTTGGAGATCTGTGATACTGTTAAGATAAATGGTGTGACGTCAGATGCAATCCGGCTGAGACTTTTTCCTTTCTCGCTAAGGGGAGAAGCGAAGAATTAGTTGAATACTTGCAATCGTGGTTCCATCACAACTTGGGATGAGCTGTACAAGGAATTCCTGATAAATTTCTTCCCACCAGATAAGGCAGCGAAATTGAGAAATCAAATTACTGGGTTTATTCAAGAAGATGATGAGACATTTCATGCTGCATGGACAAGATTTAAGGAATTGCAAATAAGATATCCTCACCATGGTATTGAGAAAAGTACTCTTGTTCAGACTTTCTATCAAGGATTGATAGACTTTGCAAGAAACAATGTGGATGCTGCAGCTGGAGGTTCGTTGATAGATAAGTCAATTGATGAAGCCTATGAATTGTTTCAAATTATGGCAAAGAATAGGAATCAATGGTCGAACTCGAGAAGTGTTTCCAAGAAGCCTGCTGGAATGTATGAAGTCAATAAACTAAGTGCCATGAACGCAAAGATAGATGCACTGACTAAGGCGATGGGTAATTTTGTAAATGCTAATGCAGTCTTCCATGCCACTGTCTGTGAGTTCTGCGGAGGTCCTCATTTGAGCTCTGAATGTATGCAACTGGCAAGTGCACAATATGTCTCTAATTTCAGCAAGCCGCAGCAACAGAACAATCCTTACTCCAACACATACAATCCTGGGTGGCGAAATCATCCGAACTTTTCTTGGAATAATCAAGGGGCTCAAGACTTTAATGCAAGACCTCAAAACCCTCCTGGTTTCCAAGCAAAGTCATACCAATCTGCACCTAAGTCAGCAACGGAGGCAAGTTTGGAGAGAATGGAGAAATTGTTGAGTGAAAACAATGAACGGTCTAACAGAATAGAAGCAAGGTTAGATCAATTGAGTACTGCTCATAGAGTCAAATGGCCTCCGCCATGAATACTCGTGGGCAAGGTCAACTGCCAAGCAAGTCTGAAATCAACCCTCGTGAAATTTGTAGTGCTATCATGTTGAGAAGTGGGAAGCAGTTGGCTGACAAGGAGGAACCAAAGACCACTGATGTGAAGAAAGAAGAGAGTAAAGAGAGTGATGAAGAAAAAGTGGAGAAAGTGGAACATGAAGAAGAAAAGATATATGTGCCACCACCGATTAAACCTTATGTTCCACCAGTGCCTTTTCCACAGAAACTCCATATGACCAAGCAAGATAGGTTGTTTGAGAAATTTCTGAAAATTTTTAGGCAATTGCATATTAACATTCCTTTTGCAGATTCTTTAGCTCAGATTCCTGCTTATGGGAAGTTCTTGAAGGAGATCATCTCCAACCGAAAGAAAGTGGAAAATTTTGAGACAATTGCATTATCTGAGGAGTGTAGTGCTGTCATTCAGAGAAAGTTGCCTCCAAAATTGAGTGATCCAGGGAGTTTCTCTATTCCTATCTCTATGGGTGATGTTTGTTTTGATAAAACTTTATGTGATTTAGGTGCTGGTGTTTCATTGATGCCTTTATCTGTTTGTAGAAAGCTTGGGTTGAAACATTTGAAACCAACTAACATCACTTTGCAGTTAGCTGATAGGTCCATAACTCATCCGAAAGGGATTTTGGAAAATGTGCCGGTAAAAGTGAAGAAATTTTATATCTCTGTTGATTTTATTGTGTTAGATATGGAAGAAGATGCCAAAGTGCCAATTATTTTAGGTCGACCATTTCTAGCTACAGCTGGTGCTGTTATAGATGTTAAAAAAGGGAGTTTAAAATTTCATATTGGAGAAGAATCTGTGGAGATTACTTTTTCTGAAAATTACAAATGCCCTGCATTTACTCATCATGTATTTAGGGTAGATATTCTTGAGGAGCTAGATAAAACTGATGTTTTCATTGCTAATTCTAAAGATTCTCCTGACATATGTATCAGTGATGTAGGCACAGATAGAAATGGAAGAAGAATGATGTATGAAAGAGTTTCACACTCTTTGATTGAGCGTCCACCTGATTGATTAGCTTATAAAGTCCGGCTCATGACTTTAAAGAAGCGCTTATTGGGAGGCAACCCAATTCTTTATTTTGTTTTATTTTTCTTTATCTTTCATTAATAAGTTGATGGTTAAGTTTTTTGTTCCTGATTATCTGGAGATCTTTGATTTCTGGATTTTCGTGGTTTTTCTTAATCATCTATTTTTAGGTTTATTTTTCTAATTTATTTTAGTTTGCAATTAGGTTTGTTGGAAGGGCGGAATTCTGGTGTCCAATGGTGCTGAAAATGAAACATCCAAAATTCTGAAGAAGTTGGTCGTGTGTTTGGATGGCAGTTGCAACAATTTATTCAACAATTCCGGTCCTCTGTTTTACATTCCCAAGGTTGTGTCATTTCTTTTCATTTCTTTTATTTTTTTCTTTTCTTTTCTTTTTACTTGGTTGTCTTGTCTTTTGTGTTTTATACATTGAGGGCAATGTATGCTGTAAGTATGGGGGAGAGGAATATTTGTGTTTTGTGTTTATCTTTCTTAAATAAAAAACCATAAAAATTGAAAAAAATTGAAAAATCCAAAAAGGCCTATGATGAAGTTGGTTTGATTA